TTTGTTTTCATTCATTCAATAACATCAACTTAAATGTATTATTTCTTTATAAAATAAATAATTTCGAAAATATTTGATATATTTGAAAAAAATTAATTATATATTAAATTGTCTTGGAAATATTTAAATAAAATTAATTTGTGGTCATTTCAAATGAAACATTCTGTTTAAATTATATAATTAATAATTTCTTTTTGCACACAAATATCAAACCTAATTTCAAATTAAAAAAAACTTTTGTTTTCATTCATTCAATAACATCAACTTAAATGTATTATTTCTTTATAAAATAAATAATTTCGAAAATATTTGATAAATTTGAAAAAATTTCATTATATATTAAATTGTCTTGGAAATATTTAAATAAAATTAATTTGTGGTCATTTCATATGAAACATTCTGTTTAAATTATATAATTAATAATTTCTTTTTTGTCGGCAAAGAAGGTGTAATAAATTAAACGAAACGTTCCAATTTTTATTTGGTATTAATTAGTCAGGATCCAATAGGATGTCACATTAAACAAAGTGAATAAGCCAGAACAGGCTTAACCTGGATTACTATATGCAGGTAACAGCTGATAATAAAGTTTATACTATAAAGAGTATTAGCTCTTGCACGGGGAAAGCAGTTAACGACAGAAAATAAATGACACCAGAAAAAAAAAAAGAATCTAATAACTAATTTAAACTTTGGAAATGGCCCAGCGTATTGTTTCGAACGAGAAAACCAGCCTTGGTGCGTTTCATGTGAAAATTCGAGATTTATGATAAGATTGTAATGATTTCGGTTCAATGAATAATGTGCCCCCCATAGGTATTCTTATAAAACAGAGGGCCTCGCAGAAGGGCGCCTAATGGTTGGGGGGATGCAAAGCGCCCCGTCGCTGGGTATGACAGGAAATAAATCGAGCGCCGGTGGTTACTACTCAATGGGTGCCCCATCCTAGGATTCGCGGCCCAGACGTCCGTCCGTCCATCCGTGCAACAATTTGAATGAAGAAGAAAAAAAGGCAACGTTACTCGTGGTAGGTTTTCATATTTTATCGAACGAGAAATGTAGAGAAGGGAAAGGTGATTTGTGCACCTACCGTGCACGTGTTGATTGCAGGCTCGTGCGTGAAGTAAAATCAGCCTACACAATTTCCAGATATGAGCTTCTCAATTATTCAGCTACAATCCGGAATGTGACGGAAGTGCTCTCCAGGTGGCAGACTGTATTCTTCCTTGCTTGCGTCTTCCTCAGCGCTTGTGGTTAGCATTGCGGGAAGATCTATTACTCGTCTGTCTGGTTAATATTGCACGGCTCCGATATTCGGTTCAACAAAAAAAAAAAAAAGAATGGAAGAAGCAGCAAACTTTTCCTTGCATTATTTCACTTCATTCTAAATGCAACTTATTTTCTTCCAGTATTCAAATACCCATACATTTATAAAAGTATTGCTACTTAATGGAAATCATATTAAATAAAGACAATTGAAAAAAAAAATGCAAATTAAATTTGCATATTTTAACGTTGACCTGAAAAGGTCAAAAAAAAACTTGAAATTAAGTTTAGAAAAGTAAAAGATACTGTTTCGTAACACTCACATGTATCGAAAAATACAATTTTTTGAGGTGAGTTCAAGAATAGAATAGAAAATTTAAGCTGTTGAATTGTAAATATAAAACATTTTGATATATTTTATTGAAATACCATAATTGCTACGTCTAATTAATTCATAAATTTTTAGAATGGTGGGTGATGAACTATATAGTGGTAATGTATATTAAATACGACTCAAATATTGTCAATTTCGGTGGTCGGGTCCACTAATCACTGCTTTTAGTCTGGAACCCCGGGGAGTTCTGAAATATTCATAGCATATATTTTTCAACTTTAGACAGACATCGTGAAGGGTTTCCCGTTGGGAATCTTCCCACCCTTGATTGTCTTCTCTGGAATATGTAATACGGATAAGGAAGCGGAGGCGGCGGTTGGCGGCGACGATGGCGGTGGCTGCGGAGGCGGTGGTGGCGGCATGGCCCACCGGTGGGGCGCGAGAGGGGGGCGTGTGGCAAATGATGTAACGCCGACCAATTTGGAATCGATCTGCGATCGAATAGCCGCAAAAAGGGCGCCCAAAACCGGATGAATAAATACTACACAAAACTGCATTAGTTCGGTTAATTATAAACACGGGAGCCACGTGACGTTTGCAGACAATGCATGGAGTTTGAAAATTCGCGGACATGTTAAGTGTAAAATGTTGTTATGTCCGGCGCACGCCATTCTCTCCAAGCTTTCGCCTGATTTAATTGAAACTTTGTGACATACTACATTTCAAACTAAAATACGAACAACAGTATCGATTTAAATGCTACACTGTATATATTATAAGAGCTGTGGGACCTTCGCGGGGGAGGAGAAGGTGGCCTTCCTCCGCACATCTCCTCCATCGGACATCATTCAGCTGGACCAGTTCAAAGCACCGCATCATTGCGGTGTATATAAACTCTTTTCACGATTTCGAGTGCGTCCATGAAATATTTAGGACTTGAGCCCTGCTGAATAACTCAACATAGCTGAATTATAAAGTCATGGGTAATTTTGCTATAAAACGCGTTCATATTTGATGGGTGCGATAATCCACCCTTACCTATAACACAAATCCGACGAAATATAAGCATGAGATAACCCAATTAAAAATGCACGACGTCCCAGAGTGTATTCAAAACTTCGAGACCGGACCCTGTCATTGTCAAATTGTCACACTCTGTCGCACTTTCAATTTATATAAAACGCCGGCCAAAAATCCCCCCACACAAGCATTCACGCTGCCAGACTACCGATCCACCACCTTCATATCGTTCCTGTATTATTCAATTACTCACCGTTTAATAAACTCCCATCATCCTCGTCCTCATCATCGTCGTCCAGTATCTCGTCCTCCTCCTTAATATCGACGTCATCAAACACATTGTTATCACCTCCATTCTTGAACATTCCCATCATCATCTCTTTAGAAGAACTCGGCGTGTCCTCCTCCTCCTCCAAAGCATCCGTACTCTCAGTCTCCCCTGCAAAATAAATAGAAAGCAGACATCAGAACCTAGCGCAACGAATTGGTTCTTAATCAGGACAGAACGTATCTTGGCCGATGGAAATCCAATGAGGGATTGCCCTATAGTGTATATCAGGGTGCTAATTACGTCCGTGCAATTGGCATATTGATCATGCGAATTCCACAAATCCGCATTGGATATTGTCTCGTGTCATCCGGATGCGCAATATTGCTTTCGCAGATCATTATGAAAATTTCAGTTTTCAACGCGAAATCACACATATAATAGAATTACCAATATTTCAATTAAGGTGAAGTTCTCAATATAAGCTTAAATTATTATTTTGCAACTTTAATCAAAATTGACAAACAATTGCATGATTTTGTAAGAAATAACCAATATTTTAATAAAAATTAATCAAATCAATGTAAACTTAAAACAGAATAAAAATCGATTTATTTTAAAATAAAATCTTTAATACAATAAAATTATTTTTTTTACGCTTTGGCTAGTTTATTAATTATTTTTATTAATTTAGATTTTACATATTTCTTGTATAGTTATTATAAATTATTATTATTGGTGTTTTAATCAATATTAAAATACGAAAAATAACAAAATAAAATAATATGTTATAAAATGTATGGTTAATGGAACTAAAGATTCGTTTGGTCCGGTCAATTTAATTTGCATTTGACGGAGCTACTTGAAAACTCGACGTATGTTCTTGAAAAGCTTCCGAGCTTTTGTTGCGCTCGTACCTTGGGTTCCCCCATTGTAAATATATGGTTAAAATAGAGTAAACTTTAATTATGAAATTTCTCATTAATTTACAAAATTTCTGTATACGTACGGCGTACTCGCTAAAACATATAACATTCTATAAAAGAAAAAGAATAAGTTATGACGTAGTGCATCCCGCGGGACCGACGAAGCCCGAGCATGAATTCCCCGGAGCACAGTATGCGCAAGGCGGCAGAAAATTAATGCAATCCTTTGGGAAATCGAACCTCTGTGTCCCAGGTGACCCGGCCTGTTGGCAGCTTCAGCTTTACTGTTTGATCAACTAAAGCTTACTTTTACCTGTATCGCGTTTACTTTATTCGCATCCCATATTATACGTACTTCGTATGTTATAATGTACACTTTTATTAAATTATTGTGATATCAGATATCAACTACATCTTAATGATATAAATTGTGAAGTATTTGATAATTATTGTCATTAGAATTTTGAATGTAAGTTTGTATGTGAGAATGATTATTTTATTTTGGTTTTCGATTGTTGTGTAGGAAAGGAGACGTAATCAAGAGATAGACGTCGTATAGTCCCGTGGGAGCTAATTAAGTGTTTTAGCTGTCACATGGAGCGGCTGACCTGTGCATCTCCCATGGGGAGAAGCGAGCATCTTGGAAAAATGTGTAAAAATGAATATTTAGTTTGACTTTTGCAGAGATACGGGGCTGCAGGTCTCAAGGGATCCCAACTAATCAGACTTTTTGGTGCGCCGCGACGCGGAGTGGGATACATGCGAACATATGCCGCCGCTCAGAAAGCCGAACCACAAAGGCATTCTGCTGGGGATCCCCGAGGTCCCTAGGGGTCCGTAAAAAGATATGCGCACTCGGCTCCTCTCTGATGAGCAGCCGAACTTTTTAACCTTGATTTCGGGGAGGATAGTTGGGAATTTGGATATCGACGGGGTCGTGGCTATGAGTATGCGGCCGGTGCCAAGAAGGTGGTGTTCCGAGCTGCTTTCATGACCCGAATGAGCTGCGGTATCGAAGGGCGAGCGAAGGCCGAGCCCGCGGGTTACATCGAATCCCGCTGGAGCTTCTGTCGCATGAGGCCGCGAGCGGGTGGCGGGTGTCGGCGGTCGCTGTGCGAAGGGCGACCGGGGGGCGGCGGGGGCGCGCGCGATGGAGTATCTGTTCCCTCGGGACCATCCCATTAATCACATTGACTAACAGATATGCGCCCCAAACCTGCTACAACTTTGTCATATTCCCTGTTACATGATTATTATTGGTTTGCGCACGAGTTCGCTTTCAGATTTCGGAAATGATACTGCACACATAATCTAGATTTATATAATTATCCGTATCGGGCGCATATTAATGAGTAGGCCGTAATTAATACTTGAAGATTATAAATTGGAGGCAAAGCAGGAGTGGACGACGCCGACGCCACGGGTGCGACCTGCACACTCTCTATCTCTATCTCTATCTCTGTGTGTGTGTGTATGATGCACTCCGGCATAGTTCGCCCTCATCCCTGGGGTTAGAAGGCTAGACTTCACTTCAAGCTCGCGCGGAATGACTACTCCAGGAATGCTAATTAGACGAAGATGGAAATATGACAATTTTGCCACTGTTCCTCGTCGGTTACTTTATCTCATTTCTTATGTAGGTCCCCGTGGACCGGCGGCGCAATCTTCCAATCCCTTTGCTAACGTATTTCCATGCTCTGAGCTGAGTCTCGTCTGTCGGTGCTTTCGCTCGCTTTATCTTGTGTATTATTTAGTTACCTGACTGGTGGTTGCAAACAGCCGCTCTACTTTCCCAGCAATTACACCCTCATTACTCACACGGGCCCGTAAGCTTCGGGATCAGTCCCGATACATTAATAACGTACCCGCACTCCAGATATGGACTATTTTTAATACTATTTACCATCGGTTCGGTCCCCCTCCCACCATTTGATTTAATCCACAATATATATTTGAACTGGTTAAAGCCCGACTAATATATACATCTTTCGAAGGGCCAGTCGCCCTCCGAGGAGCCATAAACTGATAGTGGAATGTATTTAAATTCTCATAACTGCGAACCTTACAGCACTACCCTTAATACGCTTTCCTCGGCCCGAATCCCACTAAATTATGTAAAAGATTCCCTCCGACCAGCAACTCTTTCCCGCCCCCATCGATTTACTCTAATTAAAAAGCACAATAAGCCAAATCTCTATCTCACTCCCCTTTCCAACCTAAAAGGAGAAACAAAAATTCGCGTATGCATTAAAGGGACCGAAAACATGCAAAGCCGAAAACCATTAGAGTATTTAAATATCCCAATACTTTTTGTAGCATGTTTCCAAAGATTAATAATTCTTCATATCATATGATCAAGTTTTACATATTAATACTTCGTATAAAAAAAAATTCACATCAAAGCTAAATATGAAATTCCGTAACGCGCGTTAGCCTAGATTCAACTTCCGAAGGACCTACGTAACATTTCCAGCAATCTTATACTTTTCTCGATTTCAAACCTCATATTACATATCCAACAAATCATCAATTTAACAAATAGTTTTTATAATATAAATACATTTCTATTTCCTATTGAAAGTTGCATTTCCATATACAATTGCACACATTTCACTATGAGTACATATTAATGAAAATCGTTAACATCTCATATTACGCATAGTGTGGATCCAGCGTAATATTATTAGACAGAAGGAAGACAGTTAAATGTGAAATTTCAAACTTTAGTGAATACAGTTGAACCCAGCAAAATGCACATTCTGTATTTAACTAAATTTAGTTTGATGATAATTAATACTTCGGATACTTGTAGAGTTTCGTTATAAATAGGATCAAATTTATTATTATTTTTTTTTATATTAAACTGTAATAATTTACTTTATATAACTTTAGCTGTATATAACTAAGAAAACTAAGTTGTGATAAAATGAAATAAAAGTACGGCATAATAATGAATGATCAACTTTAAAGAAGATTTAAAACAAAAAAAACAGCTCGGCTTTTGAAGCTTTCAAAAGCCATCAAGTGATTATCTCTCCGCCTGAGCTTTCGTAGGTTAAAAATATCAGCGGACGTCGTGTAAAACATTTTCATTCCTTAATTGAAATTATAATTATTTATTTATTTCTTTGCACATTTCTTTGCAAAAAATAAAAGAAACGTAAAATATACAAAGAAAGATGCTTTGATATAGTAGGTCTTTTAAAGGAAACATTTCTGAATAGGTTAATGCCATAATCGAGCGTGTCCATTAGAGAATGTTGTTGAATTCAAACGAATGTTTGATGTCGCGTTTCATTTAGTAAAACGGTCCTGGTTTTGGATTTGTAATTGGTTCATTAAAATGTAATTAGCTTTTAAAATGTTGCTCATAGAATGATGAGTCGTTTCGGCTGTAAAATTATCGGATCATCGGAAATACTGTAAACGTAAAGGGGTAATTTGTAACAAAAAAAAGGTGAGTAATTAAAGATAAAATAATATTGGATGGCCGATATCAGGTGGAAGACACGTGTGTTGTTACGGTCATCGCGAATCCCGCGGGAACGAAGTTCCAAGGGGTTGGGAGTCACGAGGTCAGTCACAGGCACAGGCAGGACGAATCCTCACGGGAACGCAAATAGCGCCGTCCCTGTCGCTCGTCCGCTCCCTTTTTCTCTTACCCTACGAATACACCCACATACACAAAATTCTCCTTACTCGTATCATATATATGTTTATATAGAATATTATTTTTTGTTTCGTTTCAACTATCCTCTCTTCCTTCGTCCACTCACGTGCTTTGCATTATTTTCGTTCCATTTATAATTAAATAGAGACAAAAGGCAAGCAAAGCAGCAGCAGCAGCAACAACAACAGGCAACAGCAAAAAGAGCAACTCGTTTGGTAATGGAAGTAACGTTTTGTAATTTGAAAGAGATGAAATGCGGACGAACACATATTTGTTTGATTCTATAGGGGATTTACACTGGCGATTAATTATTACCAAAGCCCACACATGTATTCCACCAGCAACAGCAGAGCGCTTTTATATACATACATGTGGAAATACACATTCGGAAAGATCATTTCTGGTTTTTGGTGTTCATTCGAAAACCGATCGACGGATGTTTTTGATGTTCGCCTGTTTAGGGGTAGGTTTTTGCGGGCGCGCCGAGGGGGTGGACCGGATTATGTACCTTGTATTACATAATGCGGCATCGTATTTTGTTTCTTAATGCACAGCCGACGCCGTCTTCGCGTTATTGTTTCCATCCATCAGGTACATCGCATCAACAAATCCCCAGATGATATAATACCAGTCACCTTTTAGTCTTAATATACCCACATACATCATCGATTCGTATCAGGTGTCGCGACTCGACTTTGATTGGTGCTTCATTATAACGTAAAAAAAAATAGAAAATATATTTTAATATAACTTTTCAATGGAATTCACAAAATATAAATTTAAAACTTTCATTAATACGGTTGAACCCAACTAATTTTTAACTTTTATATATTTCAAATTGACTTATACAAAATCTCATAACATAAATTTACAATTTAATTTAAAACTTTTATAAATACAAATCAATTTTATTAATTAAACCAAATATTCTAGTCAGTAAATTTTAGCTAATTTTTCAATTAAGTTCAATACAAATTTTACATTTAACTTTTAAGTATCTTACAATGGGATAATCATAATATAAACTAAATAACATCAATGGATTACGTACATTACAAATAAAGCTTATTCGATGTCATGCTTATCAAATTGAAACAAATTGTAAATTTTACTGTGTAACGAATTTGAAAAAAAAGAAAAACAACAAAAAACAAAACAAAAAAAGTAAACAATTGGCTGCAGGGAGCGAATGCAAACATATCATCGATTTGATTAATATTTCAGCGTATTGCATTTGCTTTATCCTTCTTTTTTTTTGTTAAATTATGAATTCAATAGTATTTACATTTTGTATGGAATATATATAAAAACTGTTAATATTTACGTACATTTTACAATAAAATAATATTTTTTTCTGTTAATATTTTTAAAAATACCAAAAGACAAACAAAATTTTGAATATACACGTTAATATGATATAAACGCACAAGGCAATTGTTACGATTAAGGTTTAGAATTACATAATTATGTATCGTCTCAAGGTGAAGAAATGTAACATTCTACGTTTTGATAGAATCAACAATTATTCTTTAATATAAATTAAAGTTTTTAAAGTTAAGAACAATTAAAAACAAATTTAATGAAAATATGATGTAAATGATGCATTGGTACGTGTTTCTGAAGTCTTATTTCAGAATATAGCAGAATAAAAGTGTATCAATTGGATCACGATCCAAGGTTATATGAGAAAAACAGAATACAAATAATTTGATTATTTCTGGAGTTCTGGCTGTGAATATCCTCCGGAGGTTACGTATTACCGTTGCGCATTTAAATAAACATTCAGCCACCCATATTACCGGGAGGACGAAGACGAATTTAACAAAGTTTATTTAGTCTTTGAGTCCGGCGTAATTCCTTGAGCCATTCGCTTATTTCCATTTAGCTAGAAAATTAGAAAGTTTTCGCGCGCGCGACTCGCCTCCTCTCTTTACCACCCCAAACGGGACGCAGAAACTTCCCTACGTTCGGACCCTTTGAGAGCGCTCCGCCACCTCCAAAGAACTTTAAATAAACTCCGGAAATGAAATTTTAATCATAAGTTCTAATTGGCGTTGCCCATACCGTCCCGACCCAGACGTCCGAAGGGACGGACCGTTGTCCTTAAGATGTTAGAGATGATTCCGGAGGTTGGAGATGGTGGACCCACAAGTGCTCTCCGTTTTTAATTGAAGGATACTGTTTTTAAGAGCAAAATACGTAACTGTAATATTAGTAGTTTATACGTGGCAGTTCGGAGCGCAGAGAGTTAGCTGGCGGGCGAGGTATACGACTCCCAAGGGATTGTGTCATGGGAGCGCATATTTCCCCGTCTGTACGTTGCCGTCCCCCGGCCCTCGACGCCTCTTGGGTACTCGACGCTGCTCCTGCCACCACTCCAGTGGCGTCGCGGCGCCCAACAGCCAGACCACCCACCCCCTGACGTCCCATTTTAATGAAAACTAATTATTGCATAAACGAAAATACCCACGTCCACATGCAAACCGCACAATTGCTAATGCAAAAAAAAAAACAAACACACAAAATCCATCGTAAAGCAAAGTAAAGAAGAAACAAAGAAACTACAATAATAACAACAACAATAAATAAACTATTCCAAAGCGCAGAGAACGAAGCAGCAGCACACGTTGAATGCCTGCTGTCTATTAATTAAAACCAATTACACAAATGTACGTAGTGTGCATGTCCGTGGTGGAAAGACCAGCGGAGTGTGTTTTAATGTAATGTATCAAGGCTCCAAGAAGCACGTGAAACGCGAGCAACAGAAGTCGCTACGACCTCTCCACACTCGGCCTCACCAATTCAGAAGAAGCGATATTATAAATATGATTATCATACCCAGTTTAGCAGGATTTGCTTGTTTCCTTCGTGACATTGCAACGCACCAGGGCAACAGGAGCAACGCAACAGTAAAGAATTTAATCACGGAACATCTCCTCCGAAAAAGATAACAAACACCAAGTATGTGCCCAGAATTAATCTCACATTTGTGTATTCAAGAAGCCAGCAGCATCATACATACTCAGTGCCGTCGCACTTGTTACATCGCCTACTTTATTATTTCTTATATTATTGAATTATTTACATTTCTCTGTCGCTCCAGAATTATTTTATTTATTTATTTATTTATTTTTATTGAAATATTCTTAATGCGAACTAATGGAAAACAATCGAAACTTTTTTTTTGGCGCCCAACGAGCGTGTCGTGTTCGTCTGCACTTTTCGTATTCGCGCGTCGAGTTGAGCGCGTCGCGACGCGGATTCTGGAACGAAACGCGCCGACTGGATGGTCTCATACGGTGGCTTTGATCACAAAAGCGCGCGCATTTGCATCCCTTGGGACAACACTGCGCGATGTTCGCTGTTACTACCTATCCGGTCTGTTGAAAACTTAATTAAATGATCACACATGATGGCAACTTGCAACGATCTCCAATGCTTTTGCACTTAAGATCTTCCAAACACCTTAGTTTCGAAGCTTCAGCAAAAATCTAATAAGAATATACAATTGAAATCATCAATAATTTTAGCACACCTATGCTAAAAGCTATTCATCATACTTCCACGCTTCATGGAAATCGAGAAACATATTTGCACTTTTTATAAACTTTCAAATAGTTTCCAAGTTGCGCGTTGGAACTCATGTGACATCTATGACAGACAGATCACATTAAAAGCAAGCGCCATCTAGTGAATCATACTTAGTTAACCTACAAAATTATAGGGAGTAAAAGGTAATAGAGTGGTTGAATCAATAACATTAAGTCCTGTCAAAATAATTCAATTACTGTACGACGAGATATGACTTGAGGCACTAGCAGAATGGATTCTGATGATGGGTCTCTACCGTCGCCTCCAGGTCCACCCAAGGAGCCACCTCCAAGTCTTCCACCACCCTTGCCTGCTGTAAGTTGAAAATTACCCAAAGTTAATACAAAATCTAATAGATCATTTTAGAGACCAAGAAAACAAAGCCCACAACCCCCAATCCCAGTACAAGAGCCTGCTCTATTTGAATTAGACCAAGAGGTTGATAATGATGATGAAATCTCCCAGCAAATGACTGCCTCTTATAGTGAAATCTCCTTCAAATCAGGCCTAAGCCCAGAAATAGAATTCCCATTATCATTGAGTCTAGAAAGCAATCCATTGCAGGACCCAATCAGGCGTCCTGTAACTTTACCATGTGATAGAATGCAAAAACCTTTGGGTCCTTTGAATCTTGAAGGATCTGTGCATTTCGAAGGTAATATGACACATTTTGTAGCTGAAGACTTAGAATACAAAATCAAATTATCTAGTCCACAAACAAAAAAAGGTGATACACCTCCATTGCCTGGTAACTCAAGGAGTGGAACTCCAAGTACTTTGTACAGGCAATTGCTAGTGCCTCAAGTGGGCCAAGTCGATGTAAACCTATTAAATGATTTGGAATGTGAAGCACAGAGGATGGCTACCTCAATAGATAATCTTACAGAAAACCTCTGTGGCATCTTGCATTCAGTATGGAAATACAACTCAACTACAAGACATTATCTAATAATTATATTTGCAGATTTCTTCAATAACTGCTGATAACGTCGATGTGTACAAAAACGCCGTTGCTAAAATGTCTGACGCAATGGATGGCAATATTAAAGTATTCAATACTGTACAATCATTTCGCATTGATAATAACAAATAAATTTTTAGAGTATGTATACGATGATGGCGAAAACCGAAGAAGTAACTCAAGCAATGAAGTCTGTGCAAATCCATGCAACCAGATTGTATCCTTTACCAAATTTAAATAACTCTTCATTATTGAACGTATATTAACCTTAACTATATTACAGAAAGGAAATCAAGAGACTAGTCGACCTCTTTGAGAGCTACATATAGTAGTTACACCATACAATAACCACTGATCTCTCTGCATAATCTTATTAATGTTTCTTGCACCATTATAGAAAGAAATATAAATTCTTATTAACCTATGTTTTATTACAAATCTTTCCTCATTTTTGTAAAATCCTAGCAAAAACTAAACTAGTTAAATATCTTTTATTAGTCCAATACGACTGTAAATCAAATTGGGTTGCCTATAATACACCACTTTTTATGATATAATACAAACTTGTCAATTATATAATAGCAACTGTAAATGTAATTGTAAAAGTTTGGTTGCCTATAATATAAAATGTATATAATTTGAATGGATGGATTCAAATTGTAAAGAAAAACATTATTTCAACTTTGATAGCAAATTACAGGAAAACGGTACTAGATGCAAATATGCAGATATCTTGGAGAAAGTTTTTATGAAAATGTTTAATATTGTGTTTAAAGAAGTGTAAGAGATAATGCAGTGCCAGAAATAGGAATACAATCGATCCAGAAAGTATTTTGTTTATTAAAGCGGCAATACGCATAAATTGTGTATTTTAATTAACGCATAATCGCAGAGAAACGAACGGTTGTCCGTCCAGTCATAAAAGAAATTATGGAGATAAAACTTATATCCGGTTTGGATGTTTTTGCTGTGGCCACTTCGAAATCCATTAGGCAAATGAATCAACGACAACGTTATTTGCGAGGACATTAAATACAGATATTCAAATTGCTCCGGCAATTAAAAAAATATTAAACGCTGATAGCTCTTATCGTCCGGTGCGCGGTGCGGTTTAAAACAAACAACAACAGTCGATTCTTCATGCACAAATGATACAACTGATGAGGAAGTTTTACTCTAATTCTATTATTTTTTGCTTCTCGTCTATATATTTTTTTTTGGGGACAGAAAGTGCTCAGGACGTCCCAATTTCATTAAGAGTGCGATTATGTAGGGCAGATCTTTATAGTTCCGAGTTCGTTCGCTCTCATTTTTTTTTGCTTTATTGTGTCGCATTTGCGGCCGAGGGTGGAAATCCTCGCGCAATCATTTTCCATGGAGGAAATTCGGACAATAAGTATGGAAATGTGTGTCGCTTTAGGATCTTGAATGCAAATGCCTTTTAGTTTGCTGCGCAAACAGAATCAGACTCGCACGGTTTAATATAGCGGGAGAATTCTTTATACGATTCCCATGTCCTCCTTCCTCGTCCAGCATGTACAAAACACGCTCATAAAAACGATGGTGTTTTGTATGTTTGTTTGTGTGTGTGTCCATGCGAGCTGCTGTGCGCATGAGGGATAAATCACTTTGATTTGTTTAGGGAAATAAAGTGACATTAATTCACAATATTTAATCAGGGTCGTGCGGGAGGGGTGTTCATCAAGTGAACAAAGAAGCCATAAATTACATTAAACTCTTTTATTATGAGATGTAAAATTATGAATTGTCACATGTAAACAGAGGGGATTGTGTGAGAGAACGCGTGGCTGGTTGTCTGTGTGAACTGGGACTGGAAATGGTGAGAAAAAAACGATAAACGGCAATCATAGATTCAATTGTCACCAAACCTCTTATACCAAGTATAATTTTATTGCTATTACACTACATTACACTTATACCTCAATAATCATTTTGATTGATGCTTCAATTTCTATTGTCTTATAAAAAATAAATATTTTTTATTATTATTTCATTACTCGACTTATTTACTTAGTATAAAATTAAACTTATAAACTAAGTAAACAAAATTATACCTAGAGCAAATGCTAACACCAAAGTTATTTTTCTTATACCTTACATTTGCTAACAATAATCGCAGCCAATCAATAGTAGACAGGAGGGATCCAGCAGGTAAAGAAAAGGAGTTACCTGAATGTTGTTATTTTCAGGTACACAGCTTATGCATTGTTACGTTTTCTCTTGTCATTTAACATGATTATACAAACTATAGATGGTTGTCATATACAATTTCATAAAAAGTATAAGAAATTTGATATGGATTTAAACTTTATCAAAACATTCATATACAGTAAAAAAAAAGTTTATCTTCATATAATAAAAAAAATCATTCTTTTTACAGAATTTGCAAAATAATTCAAATTTTATAATATTTCAAATTTAGACCAATGAAAAATTTGTGTATTTAGAAATTATATAGATCAGGGTGAAAATTGGGAATTAAATAATAAATATAAAATAATGAATGTTTCTCTGATTTTTCTTAAATTTTATTTATTATGAAATAAACAAGATGTTCCGTGCAAATTTCAGGATGTACAGGGAAACCCTGATTTAGATTAAGGACTTGATAATAGCGTGTGAACATTTAGGTTGTGAAATTTATTATATTTTTTTGTATTTCCTGCGTTTATTTGTCCATCGTTGAGTGCGGAAGTGGCGCATGAAATCTGTGCGTCGGACGAACGCTTCCGAAATTTGCGAGAGGGGTTTGCGTTTAGTGTTTAACGCTGTTAGGGAAACCGATTTACCATTTTACCACATTTCCGTAGCCTCGATGCATCAAGGATGGACCCTGCGAATCACATCACAGTCCGATGCCGAACGTCCCTGTTTAATAAAGTGTATGATATACACGCACACGGATACCGAAGGACGTCCATAAATATCATCAGCATTGGTATCGCTTCGCAATCAGTTTCAGTTAGATGGATCCAATATTATTATCTTTAAAAAATTTAATTAAATTATTGGAATTTTCATTGCGGAATCGACGTCGGAAAGCGACCGAATCAATTCAATATTTTTTTTCTTTTGCTTTTAATTCGAAATTAGTTCGAACGGCGAGAGAAAAAAGAAGGACGAAGACGAAGAAACCGAACCAGAGGGTGAGGTAGGGGCTGCGGCGAAGTTTCACCGATTGAATGGGAAAACACGGTGGGGGTGGAAACGAATTAAACTTGCGGAAAGTTTCTATTGCTCAAATCGAAACCGAGTAAACTACATTATATTATACAGTTACCAGCCGCAAACTGCGGTCGGGAACCTTCATTTAGATTGGTTAAATTATTAAATGCGTTAAGGGGGACCGTTTACTGCAGACAGCGCGATTATGAAGAATGGGATGGAAGATTCAGTGACGCCACACTATAACGAGAATGTCCTTGTTTTGATTTATTTCTGTCTGAGCGAGGACCAAACCTTTTCACTGTACATACATTTTAATTTTTATTTGCCAAAAGAGGTTAAGAACAGAACTTCATGGAACACCTGATACCTCAGCTTCTACTCTAATAGCGACTTGCTTTTAGATGATTTACACTTAAGTAACTTTTAAACTCCATGAAACTTTCATTTCCCTTAGGAATTCATTATACAAGGTGTTTGTTAAAAACTTAATGTCAATTGTTAAAACGCTTCTCAATCCGTGTTGATTTCCGCACAATCCACAGAATTCTTTATAAAATAAATAATAATATAATGAAAATTTTAAATTATTTGCTAATTTTTAACTAATATTTAGATCAAATTTTTAAGATGTCTTTTAAAATTAAGCAAATATTTATTTTTCAAATTTATACAATTAGTCTTTAAATTCAGCAAAGTCTTTAATTTAAAAAAAAAATATTTCAAGAGGTATAAGAAACGCGCTGTGTCTGAGTCACGACGAATCACAGTTGCTCCTATGTTTAAACATTTCTTATTGGGCCACAAAAATCAAATAAGAAATAAGATAAGAAAGACATAAAAATTTGGAAGATTTCTATACGAAGATGTAGCGATAAAGATCATCAGTTGCAGCTACAAATCATATCGTTAAACGCTAAAGGAGGGATCGGCAAACCTCGACTTTTTTCAATATTAACAATTCTATTGGTTCTAATAAGACCGCACAAACTCACCAGTAAATATTTTTTTGTTAACGGATGAAATCTTCAAAATGGTTCTTTTATACAAATTGCAACTAATCGAAAATTTGCGTTTCCTTAACAAATCTTTTATTTAAGTATTTATACGTCGAATCAAACATAAATCTTATTATTTATGTAAATGCATATTGTATATTTTACAAGTAACTTGCCAACTTCTTTAACTTGTTTACACGGACCGTTATTTTTTTTTGAAGTGGTGCAATTTTCAAATATTGAAGTGACCATCAGTGAATTATTCATTCAAAAATCTAAATTAATTGAACAATAATCACTTGTAGTTGTTTTTCAATAAGAATGTGAATGTCAGATTTTTTTGTATTTTTTGGATATAAATTTTAAAAACTAAAACAATCAATGTGTCGCTATTTTCTAAAAAGTGTAATTATTAATGTTTTCAATGATTGATCTCGTAATTCGGTAAAAGAACCTTGATTTCTATGGGTGTATTTTTTTGTATGTTCAAAAAAAAAAACGGGGAAAGTAATTTAACGTAAAAGCCTTTTATCCGAATTTAAATTCGAGGCTGATAAGAAGGGCGAGACCGACAGAGAGATCGAAGATCTCCCATATATATGTATAAAAAAAAAGCCCGTTGCATCTCTGATTAAAAGAAAAAGTGTCCTCGAAGGAAATGGAGGAAGAAGACATTTTTCTTCTTTTTTTTCTGTGTGTTTCAGTAAACCTACATGTCAAACACTGTGTGAAAGTCTTTGATTAAATCAGTACGAACAAAAAGCGGTGTGTTTACATTGGCGATGTCTGATGACGAGAGAAAAAAAAAAGATTTAGGTGGGGTTCGAATCCGTTCGATGAACTTCTTAGAATATTTATTTTTTTCGTACGCGAAACGTTGTCGAGGGTGTAATAATCATTTTGCCTGACGGTATGTGGGGTAAGTGGTGGATATAATTGCCAAAATTTCCGCGCGGAAGGAAAATTAAAATATAATATATAAGAGTGTTTGCGTATATATATATATATATATACATATATGAACCGGTTTTTGCGAGCGCTTTTTTTAATTGGAGCTGCGGCATTATTAAATAGCCAAGATTGTGTGGTGTGGCATAGCGTGAAGTCGGGTGTCGTACTGTGCTGCACGGTGTGTGGGTCAAGTATTGATGCAATAAACTGGAATTATCTTTCCTAGATATGTAAATGCCCCATATTGTTACTAAAGTGTGAAATATATCATTTTCTTAATC